GTGTATATATAGCACATTATCTATTCATCCATCGATGAACACTTAGGTTGTTTCCATGTCTTGGATAATGCTGCATGAAATTAGGATGCATGATGCCTCCAGCTTTGTTCTTTCTCAAGATTGCTTTGGCTAATTGGGGTCTTTTGTGGTTCCATACAAATTTTAGGGTTTTTTTTTCTATTTCTGTGAAAAACACATTTGTTATTTTGATAAAGATTGCATTGTATCTGTAAATTACTTTGGGTAGTATGGACATTTTAACAATAGTAATTCTTCCAGTCCATGAGTACGAAATATTTTTCCATTTATTTGTGTCTTCTTCAGTTTCTTTCATCAGTTTTCAGTGTACAGGTCATTTACTTCTTTAAATTTATTCCTAGGTATTTTATTCTTTTTGATGCTCTTTAATCTCTTTTAATCTAGAACAGCCCAAATCTTTTTTTTTTTTTTACCCCGCCCCCCCCACAGTTTGGATCTTTTGCAGGGACCAGGCTATTGTTATGTAGAACTGTCCCACATTCTGGATTTATCTGATTGTTTCCTTGGGGTGGTTTTTAACTTGTTCTTCTGTTATCTGAATGTCTGTAAACTAGAACTTAGGTCAAACAGCTTGATGAGGTTCAGGTTAAACATTTTTGGCAAGAACACTTGAGAGGTATACTGGGTACCTCATACAGCGTCACAAGGCACACACTGTTGGGAGTCTCCCGCGATTAATGATGGTCTGACCATGGGATTAAGGCGGTGGCTACCAGATCTCTCCATTGTAAGCTATATCATCCCCTTTGCAATGATCGATTACTTTGTCAGGTTATACTTTGGCCAGGTGCAAATGACACGTTTTTCTACCATCTTTTTCACCTACTTGTTTTGATATCTAGTTTTGATTCTTGTCTGTTGTATTAGAGTTGCAAAATGGTAAGTTTCTAATTCTTTCCTTCTACATTTATTAACTGAAATTCTGGAAAGATGAGAGCTTTTCCTCATCAACTGGGCTTTCCAGGAGCTCTGATACCTGGATTTTAACAAGCTCTAAGTGACCCTGTTTCGATAGATTCTAATCAAGATCCTTTGATGACACTGAAAACACCTCAAACGCCTCCGGGTTAAAAGAGAGTTCTTAGCAATACACAGGGGACTCTCTTGGAGCCTAGCTGCAGGAAGGACAGCTTGGCTTTATGGGAAATGAAAATTGCACAGGAGCAACTTCTCTGCCTCCCTCTGCATATTTGTTCCTTCATCTCCACAGAATGCCTTCTTTAAGGCTCTTGGTTTCTGCTTTCTCATAACTTGTGTTCACATGAGGTGCAAGGCAGTTTCCAAGCCTCTTATCTGTCTGAGTGTCATAACTCAAATTCTCTCTGCAGAGAATCCAGCTCAACTTAAGAAGCTTTCCATTGGCAATGGCCTGTGGAGTAGAGCCACACATATCCCAGCAGGAGCCAGGGCAGTTTAGGAGGGCAAGGGGGTGGAGAGGTTGCTAGTGGAGACATGGCTGAGACTCCCCCACTCTTCTGGATTACTAAACCCAGGAGCTCGGTGACTCTCTAGGAACTGATTCAAGACCTCTTAGAGCAGCAGTACCAGGGACTGGTACTCCTATGAGAATCTAATGCCTGATGATCTGAGGTGCAGCTGAGGCGGTGATGCTAGTGCTGGGGAGTGGCTGCAAATACAGATGAAGCTTTGCTCGCTCGCCCACTGCTCACCACCTGCTGTGCGGCCCGGTTCCTAACAGACCACAGACTGGTACCAGCTGTGGCCCGGGGGTTGGGGATCCCTGCTCTAGAGGACAGAGGTAGGTTTCTGGAATGTCTTCTAAGTACCCCCAGAAACTAATTCCATTCATCTTTGCCCTGAGTCCTTCTGGGGCTCGTAATCCAGCAGCACTGTCTGAGCAGGCCTTTTCTCCTTTTCTTCCCCATAGCCTGCCGTGGAGGTGCCCCAGTATGTGGGTATCCGGCTCCTAGTAGAGGGCTCCACCATCAAGAAACCCATGGCAATGTGTCACCGGCGGACAGGGGTCCGCACAGCGCTCCCTCACCTGCAGACCCAGCGAGGCTTTGGGGAAGGCAAGGACTCGGGGATCCTTACCCACAGGTCAGCTCCTAGGAAAGTTCCTGGGGCCAGGAGCCTGGGGCACACAGAGAAGCCAGACTCCACTGCCGCCACCTCGTCCTCTGGAAAGGGAAAGAAAGGCAAGGCAAAAAGTGCTACAGCCCTGGTCTGCCCTAATATCCAGAAGTGGGACCCGCCTAGCACCAGGATGGGCTGCATTTACACCATGACCTTTGCTAGTGGGGAAAGGCAACCCCACTCCTTGAATAGATATCCAGTGAGTCTGAAGAATCCCCAGGCCCTGGGTAAGACCATTCCCACAAAACACTCCTGGGTCGCAAAGCAATTTCTTCCCTCTCTCCAAGCTCCTCCTAACCACTGAATTTGCCCCTCACCCACAGCCTCACCAAAGAGCTACAAGCAGTAAGTAAAAAGCACCACTTACGAAATACTTTTTAAAAATACACAACCAAGTATTATCCTCTCTAAAGGAGTCGCCCTGCGAGGCAGCTTACTTATTTCAAAGATGGTAGGACTCAATCCAAGGTCGAGCTCTCTCTAGAGCCCAAACTTTTCCCGCCGCGGTGTTCTGCTTTTGCCTCCATGCAAAGTTGCCTCTGGGGGAAAGGAACTAATATTTGTAAAGTACTTGACAGTTTATACTGTGTTGCTACCTAACCAGCTCCTTTAGTCCTCACAACCTAGCGAGGTAGGTGTTATTATCCTCATTTTCCAGCTGAGGTATCAGGAAGTTTAAGGAAGTTGTCCGAGATTGCATAGCTCAGAAGGGGCAGAGCTGGGATGCAGACCTGGGTCTGTTGGACTCTAAACCCTGTGACCTTCCCATAGCCTTGGGAGGAGGAATCGGGAGGGCTCCATCTGCCCTCACATGCCCCAGCCTTCATCTCCCTCCGGCTCCTTGCCCTCCGCACACAACTTGAGGGGCAGCTGGTCAGCCTTGGGCCCTCCCTAGGCCTTCACAGCCCCTCTTGCTCCCACAGCCCATTACCATTTCCCCAGCCTGTACACCAAGGCCCGGCTGCCTTCTCCCCATGTGCTCCGGCCCCAGGGGCGGGTCCTCAGACTGCAGCACAGCAAGCTGGTGGGCTCTAAGGCCCTGTCGACCACAGGCAAGGCCTTGATGACTCTACCTACTGCCAAGGTTTTGATTTCCCTCCCACCTAATCCTGAGCTCAAGCAGGCACCCACCATCCTGAAACCAAGAAAGGTGGGCCTCAAACTGTGATTTGCACCCTGGTGGGCAGTACTTACTAGTGGGTCAGGGCGGGAGGGTGCAGACAGAGGGCAGCTCCCAGGCTGGCTGGAGCCCCAAGGGGAGGGCTTATTTCCCTTGGAATCCCCTTCCTGGACAGATTCCTGATCATCTTTTCCCCTTTTCCCCTCCTTTCACACTGAGGCTGTTGCTCCCCAGCGCCTTTGTGGTTCCTATCCTGGAAATGCCTTGTGGCCTCTACCCTTTGAAGTTGGAAATCTTCCTAGCACCCACAGGAAGATAAAGGCCAAAGGCAAGTTCAAGGCCAGACTCTGTGACAGCCCCAAGGCTGAGGTATGCCTCATGAAGATGCTGACCCTTCCGGGACCCCTGCCCCTAATCGATGCACACCAGCATTTGGGTGGCATGGGGGATGTGAGGTTAGAGAAGCCCTTGTTTCAGGCCTCATTGCCCCAATCTTGGATACAGCGCCAAATAAAAAGGAGCAAGTAAAGTATTCTAAGCATGGCTCTGTTTCTATTGGAGGGTGAAGAGAGGGTTGGGAGAGGCTCTGTACCCCAAAGTCCAGAACAAGAATTAGAGGATGTCAGCAACTCCTACACAAAATAAGGCCCAGAATTCCCATCTAGCGGCAGACATGGGGCTTCTAATTCAAGGACTCTCCTAACATCTTTGATCTTTGGGTTGGGGGATAAGCCTCACTTTACAGAAGAAGCAGCTGAGCAGAATGAGGCTTGCCCAAGATCATGAGGCAGTGGGCAGAAATCTGGGACACAATGCCAGAACGGCTGACCACTAAGAGTCCCTCCGATCCCAACACCAGAGAAGGAGCTGGGCTGACAGCAAAATGACATCTAATGGGTGTAAGATTTACAACATGAGACAGGGAGAAGGGTAGACCTTGCCTAAACCCCAGCCCATCTTCAGAGGGGGTGGGTCTGTCCCTTCCTCAACAAGGGGCCAAAGTCACCTAAAAAGGAAATATCCAACAAGCCATACCCATCTAAAAAGTTTGGTGCTTCTCAGTTGTAATGGGTTGAATGGTATCCTCCCCACTCCCCATCTCCAAAATATGCCTACCTGGAACCTGTAAATATGACTGTATTTGGAAAAAGGGTCTTTGTAGATGTAATTACATTTTGTAAAGATCGTGAGATGAGATCACCCTGGATTATTCAGGTGGGCCCTAAATCCAATGGTAAGTGTCCTTATGAGTCAGAAGAGAAGACACAAACACGAGGAGAAGGCTGTGTAAAGTTGAAGGCAGAGATTGATGTGATGCAGCCACAAGACAAAGAATGCTTGGAGCCACCGAAAGTTGAAAGGCCAGGAAGGATTCTCTCTAAAGGAGCCTTTAGAGAGAGCATAGCCATATCGATACCTTGATTTTGGACTCCTAAACTCCAGAACTGTGAGAGAATCAATTACTGTTGTTTTAAGTCACTCAGGTTGTAGTAATTTGCTACAGCAGCCATAGGAGACTAATACACTAGTCAAATGAAGGTATATATACTGATCCAGAAATTTTTGCATAACCAACATGAAATGCTTATAAGCAGGTTCACAACACTGCAGCAACAGCCAGACAACCTGTCTATTAACAGCAGAATGGATAAACTGATATATTCAAGCACTAGAATTCATACTCTATACTATACAACACAGATGCACTGCTCACTGTGGAATGAGAGCAAATCACAAAAGAACATATAAGCATGATTCCATTTATAGAAACTTCAGAAACAGGCAAAATGAAATATAGTGTTTAAGGATGCATACATTATGTGGTAAAACTTTAAAAGACAAGCAAGGAAAGGATTCTTCCAAAAGGGCAGTGATTCCAACTTAGACTGAACCCCTCTGGGAGCTTTAAAAAAAAGATGATGCTAGGGGTCTCCACCCCAGACTAATTAAACCAGTATCTTTGGGGTGCAGAATCACTCCTGAGCTTCCTGAGGGGGGTTAAGTAGTGGGGGTTCTAATGTAGGGGCCATGTTGAGAACTGCTCTACAAGAAAGGAAAGGATGTTTATTTCATGCCCTGAATGGTCATATGGGTGTCATATTAAAATTATTCTTTAAATTACAGAGATTTTATGCACTCTATTTAATATATGTCTCAATTTTTTTTAGTAAAAAATCTATCTTATATGAGGTTCCCTAGAGTAGTCAAATTCATAGAGACAAGGAGAACAGTGGCTACTAGGAGTTGGGAGAAAGGGAATGGGGACTTAGTGTTTAATGAGAACCGAGTTTCAGTTCTGCAAGATGAAGAGTTCTGGGATGGATGGTGGTGGTGATTACACAACAGCATGAATGTACGTAATGCCACTAACTGTACACTTAAAAACAGTTAAGATGGTAAATCTTGCTAGGTGTATTTTACCACAATTTAAAAATCTAACATTTCTTCCCACCTAGAACTGGAACAGAAATAGCCAAACAAAAGACCACACACTGAACTCAGCAGAAAACATGTTCCATGATAAACATTTACTTTCTAAGCAAATCCTCAAAACCATACTGAGTTAAGTACTTCTATTATCTCAAATCCAGAGAGGTGAAGTTATTTGTCTGATGCCACACAGCAAGGATTTGATCTTAGGTTAATCTGACTACGGAGCCCAGGGTCTTAAACCATAGCCTTTCTGTATGTTGAGCACTGAACTCACACTCCTCAGGCCTGCGGTGCCTCTACACCCATTGCTTTCCAATGGAAATAAAAGGAACAGAAGGACAACTATTGTTGGCGGAGCCCCAGGCACTGTAAGGTCCTGGAGAAATAAGGGGGCAAGGGTGCCACAAGCTCAACGGGGGAGTCCCTGGGCCTGGCGCCTGGGAGGTGGAGACAGTGCAGGTGGAGGTGCAATGGCAGCTGGGCAACCTGGGAGGGTGTTAGGTGGAGGCATCTGATGAGGGCTTCATCCAGAACCTGGGGTGAGAGAGGCATGTCAGCATTCAACCAGGTGAGTTCCAACCAGCTCTAACCAAAATGGGAGGGAGGCAAGTACTTCCTCCCTCCTTCATCGTCCATGGTGATTTCTTTTCTACACGTACACACACAGGCACACTCCCACTATGGCAGAGATCGGCTAGGGGTTTACCAAATCACTTTCTGCCTGGGCATACAACTAAACTACATTTCTTAGCCATGTGATTGAGTTCCAGCCAATGGAACAGGAGTGCAAGTATGTATATTGCTTCCAGACCTGGCCTATGAAAATTTCTCACATAAACCTACACTGTCCCCCGTTACGATCTGACTGGATAGCCAACAGCCTAGGTCCCTGAGTGACTGCTTGGAACAAAGCCCACTTCTACCCCATCCCATTAATTGGATTTAACATGGAGGGAAATTAATGTGTTAAGACTCTGGTGCTTTGGGGCTACTCTGTTAGAGCCAACAGAGTTACCCTAATACACACACATGACCTCTTTTACCCCTTATGCCAAATGACTCAAAGAATGGCAGACTTAGAAGGGCCATTAGAAATCAGCCAGTTCACCTCCCTTATTGGGCAGAATGAGGCCCAAGAGAGATGTCACTTGCTCAGGGCCACACGGCAAGACAGGGCTACAGATAGCTTTAGAAGCCAAGAGGACTGCCTCTCAGTCCCAAACTACCTAGCTAATGTCTGAAGGTGCTGCCCACCCTCATCCCCCAGTTTACCCCCTGAGGGCAGGAGGCTTGGGTACCTGTCTTTGGGGCTTGATGCTCTCAGCTGGCAGTAGAAAGCGCTGGCCCAGAACAGTGCCCACACCGGTGGAATACTTGTGGTCCCCAAGCATAGGACAGAGTTGCAGTACCATGTGTACCTGTAGCTGACTTGGGAACACTGGAAGACAGAAGCAATAGGACAGATGGTGAGCAGCTTCTCTTTCTATCTCAGCCAATATTGTCTTTCCCCCTTTCCTCTGAGGAAACACCACCCCTCCATTCTCAGATTAGGTGGTTTGAGTGAGGTCAATGCTACTGTTCCTGCCTCCAGAGCAGGATGCATGACCAGGTCGGGACAGTCATAGCTGTCAATCACCTTGCCTGTGGGATTCACTCATGAAGAGAGGCAATTGAGAATTTATTGTTAAAGCTACTGGGAATAAGGAATGCTCTTTCCTGTTAGGGTGCTAAACTGGTGGAGTGTAAGCCTAGAGCTGCTAGAGCTCCTGGCCATCTCTGCCTTTACCAGGGGAAAGCCTTGGTAGAAAGCAGCCAATGTGCAGGAGGCGAGAAGAAACGGAGAAACAGCTTCCGAATGACATCCTCTGAGCCTCTGGATCCAGCCAAATCATGTGAGCCAAAAAATTCCGTTTCTTTGGTTTATACTAATTTGAACTGATTTTGGGGAAACTTACAACTGAAAGTACCTTAACAAATACAGATATGGGATACTATGTGCTAAACATGGTACAAAATGTTTCATATATGTAAACTTACTTAATCCTCATAACCCTATAAGGTGGGTCATATCTTCATTTCCATTTTACAGATAGAAAAATGAAGGCTTAAAAAGTGACTTGCTTACCACACAATAAACTAGGATTCAAACCCAGGAGCGGTATTCTGTGTCCATCCATGTCTGGCAATATGATAGACTGGATAATCTAAAAACCCTCTTGCTATAAACCACCTAGAAACACTGAAAAGCTATAACAATCATCCTTTTAAATACACAGCTGGGCACACAGGAAAGTAAGGTCTCCAAAACCAAAATGCAAAAAGGAAAACAAATTCAGAGCACATGAGAGCCAATTTCTCTGTTCTAGGGATGCTGCCAATCTTGATATCTAGGGGTCTAGGATTTAAGTAGCTACCCTAGAGGCCAGCGATGAAGCCTTGGTGCCAAATGAAATCCTAGAGGGGCTACATCTTCAGTGAAAGGGTGGACCAGGGAAAAAGCCAGCCACCAAAGAAGGCAGATAATCACTTTAGGATTGGATGAAGGGAATGAAAAAGTTTTCCCCTGAGAATGCAAAACCATGAGCCTGCTCTCGCACAGGTTTGGAGTTCTACTACTACTTGAGTGACCTCTAAATGAGACACTAAAATTCAGAGAGGTCCTGAAGCAGTGATAGCTGTAAGACATTCAGCAGAAGCAGAGGCAGAACCTCTCCCCGAGGTCCCTGCTACAAGAAGGCAATAAAGGATTTCCATAGATTAAGGCCAGCTGAACCTGAATTAACAATGCTGAATCACAGAGCAATAAGGAAACAACCCACCAAGTGTGAGTCAGTGAGAAACACAATGGGATTAGACCTTCCAGAATTTCAGACAATGGAATTATAGAAATACAATATAAGGATGTTTTAAATAAAGATAAAAACAAATAGGAGAAAAAAAAGCATGCCATATTTTTTAAAAGGCTATGTGTAAAAGAATCAAATAGAACTTCTAGAAGTGAAAAACACAGTCAACTGATAAATTAAGTTGGCAGATTAGATCCAAATGAAGAGAAGATGACTCGACTGGAAGATAGATCTAAAGAAATTACCCAGACTGCAGCAGAGATAAAGCAATGAAAACTATGAAAGAAAAGTTAAGAGACAGTAAGTAGAATGAGAAGGTCAGACATGCCTATTAGGCTTTCAAAAGGAAGAGAATAGAGAGAATGTAAGAGGTGCAATATTTCAAGAGAGAACTTTCTGGGATAGATAACATATATTTATTTTCAGATTCAGGAGGCACAGTGAATCCTAAGCAGGATAAATAAAATTAAACTCACACAACAAGATTCATCATAGTGAGACTACAGAATACCAAAGACAAAGAGAAGATCCTGAGACCAATAACTAAGAGAAAAAGTAGTGAGCTACAAAAGAATGACCATCAGACTGCCAGCAGAAGCACTGCCTCCTCTATCTGGGCCTGGTCACATGCACCCTTGGGGTCCATCAAATGCTACTGAGGCTGCTACTAACGCCATCACCTTCCTTCCACCCACTTGCCTCCCCCAATCAAATACAGTTCTAAAGTCTGGCTGGGACTTCAGACCCACCTGTCAATGGCTGCAGCTGGACCAGGGCACAGCCAGAGCCAGTAGCCACCACACGGAAGTAGCTGAGGGTCCTCTTGACACCTTCTAGGATGTCCTTTCGGGTTGGGGACTTCACTGGAACTACCTGGTGTGAGCCCCCAAGAATGAACGAGCTTCATACATACCTGGGAGCTATACCCAGACTCTTCTGGCTCCCAACAGACTCAGGACAGGACCACAGTATAGATAGGTAGTGCTCACTTGCCTGTTTTAGGGGACAGGAGGGCCAGCCACCCCAAGTCTATACCCTTGACTTCTCTGTAGGGGTAATATGTCTGGAAGGTTCCCTATCCTTCCCCACCCAGACCCTGACTCACGAGACTGACACCATCAATGTGTTCCAATTTCAGAGCTGCTTGGATCTTCCCCTCAGAAGTAGTTGGGATCCCATCAGTGACAGCCCTGTGAAAGAGGCAGGAGAAGGTCACAGAGTGGCTTGCTGGGACCTCCCCACTGCCATGGGAGCCTCCCAGCACCTCTCACCAGTAGGTGGCTATGGGTCTCTGGGCTCTCCGTGAGTGGGTAAAGAACTTCTGGAGGCGGCTTGCTGTTTGGGGGCAACTAGAGAGGAGTACAAGCCCAGAGGACTCCCTGGAAGAAGGAGACAAATCACAAAAGTTAAAGTCCCTTAGGCTCACAAAAAAGGGAGGAACATTGACCTGATTAAGGTCAAACAGTAACACCAGACTATAATCCAGACCTCCTGAGAAAGAAGGCTTCCTTGTGTTTGATAAGAGGGCTATGTAGCTCCATGTGTTTCTCATTTTAGCCTGATCCCCAGGGAGCTCAGAGTCAAACATCATAACAATTACCACCAATTGCTGAGTGTCAGGCACTATCATAGGAATTTTATATATATTAGCTCTGAAATAATTAAATTCCCCACAAACAAGCCCATGAGTCTGTGAAATTACAGAAATGTTTTATCTCAAGTACCATCTTTAAAAGATGGCTATTAGAGGAAAGAAAATCATGGATCAACTCCCAATGCCTACCATGAATATGGGCTTGGAGAAGTGACTACATACTAAACATAAGTATTATTAGCTCTATCTTATGAGTGAGGGAACTGAGGCTCAGTGAGGTTTTATACTTTGCCTAAGATCACAGTTTACCCATGAGAATTTGAACCCAGATCTGTCTGCTTCCTTCTTTATCTTGTATCCTATCTCTATGATCTCAAACCAGCTGTGGAAATGTCTTGGCTTATTTCCAAGCAAGTGTTCCCCAACCCCAGATGGACACCTGTCTCCTTACTTTCCTATGACCACCACCACTTACTTCTCAGATGCTTGGACAATTTGGAGCTCCCTCTCTCCAAGCCCCAGGGACTGGCTCAGCTCTGGCAGCACCGAGAGCAATGTCAGCTCTCCTGGTTTCCCTGAGAAAAAAAAGAAAAAAATACAAGTTGCTCCCAGAGGCAACTTTATCTCACTGTCCCCTTCTCGTCATTATTCCCTCCCTCAGAGACATCAAATTCCCTTTCAGTGCATCTCCTTCCCCGGTTCATACCTGTCACTGGCAGACCTTGTGGCTTGTTCAAAGTCACTAGTGGTCCTGAAACATATATTACATGAACATCTTTGACAGCAAAAGCAGCAGTTTATAAAGTACTTTCTCAATTCATCTTATCATGTGGCCCCACTACAACTCTCAGACATGTTATCAACCACACCCTAAACTGAATTTCTTTCTGACCCTTGCATATGCTAAGCACGCTGCCACCTCAGGGCCTTTGCACTTGCAATTTCCTCTGTCCCAGATTTTCAAGTCTGGCTCCTTCATATATCTTGGCTCAAATGTTACCACCATAGAGGCCTAAATCCACAATCTAATGTCTGCCCCACTCCTATAGTTCCTCACCATCATAACACCCAGTTTTATTCATGGTACTGATTACTAGTAAGAACCCTGTTTATTCATTTCCTGTCTAATCCATTTCTCTTGCTAAAATCTTGGATCCCTGAGAGCAGAAAACATAATTTTCTTCTTCTGTACTGTATAGCTGTGCCTAGAACAGTGCCTGGAATGTAACCTATGCTCAGTAAATAGTTGAGAAAAATTAATAAATCACTGAATGAAAACTGAGGCTCAGAGAAATTATTTTCCTAAAACTACACAGCAAACTGATTTTACAGGGCCTGGATCTGGATCGATAGGCAATTTATTATAACAATTCTCATTACAGAGCGCCTACTGTGTTCAAGACTCTCTAGTTCTTTACACTCTCCCATCCCACACTCCTATCCCCATAAAGCTGAGGCTCAGACAGATTATGTGGCTCGTCCCAGCTCATGCCGCTAATGGGCAGCAGAACCAGGATTTGACCCTAAAGGCTTTAGTAGGGAGCCCAGTCAGCCCCTCAGAAGGCCTGGAGCAGCAGATTCCCCTCTTGGGTCTCTGTGCAGCTGTCCCTCTCTCATCCTCACCTTTCTGGTCCACCACAGATGCCCTCAGCACATCAACCAGCTCCTCCCGACTGAGGTATTCTGGCTGCAGCAGCCCTGGAAAGGGCTGTTTCCCCGGGGTTCCCAACCATTTGCTGGAGCCTTGAGGTTGCCGCTGATGCCTGGAAAAGGTGGGGTAAGCAATAAGGGAAGCATTCGTTTCTCTAGGCGCTACTCATTCTTATTTTCACACAGCTCTTTCCAAATCCTAACAAATGCCTCAGACTGCCTGAGCTGAGCTCTCTGAAAATTCACGTTCGACTGGCCCCATTTTATGGAGGTGAAAACAGGCTCAGAGAGGTCGAAAGGCTAATAATGTACGGTCACACAATAGCTGAGATTAGAACTCTTATCTTCCTAATGCCAGATTCCGCACACAACTTCCCCCAGCCCCATCATCCCTTCCATAAGAAGTGGTGTGGGGGTGTAATCACCGGGCCTCGGTCCCAAAACCTGCGGCCTTGAAAGCTGAGCACACCCCTGACGCCAGACGCCAACTTCCCGAGACGCGACCCAAAGTACAGTAGCCACCCATGTCCCCGAGCGAGGACAGTGCGCATGTGTCCAGAGGGCAGCCCCTCCCCGCCCCTTGCCCACTGTGCACTGATTGGTCAGGTTGACTGTCAATCGGAATAGCGAGAAGGTGGAGCTATAGAGCCGTGAGAAGGCGGAGCTATGACCTTGCCTGGGGAGGAAATGTGTGTTTGCACCTGTGATTTTGGGGAATCTAAGAGACAGACTAGGGAAGAAATTTCCCGAGGTCAGAAAACTAGTCTCAGGACAAAAGATTAAGGTTTTTCTGATTACCATTTCAATTCTTAGGAGCTTTCTGACTTCAAAAGACCACTGTTGGGCACGATATCTTAAGGAAAATCGGGGGTGGGGGGGAGTCCACACGCTTTGGTTCAGTAAACCCACTTCCAAGAACAGCCTGGTACATAATTCAAAGGGAGAAAAAGGCCAGAGGCAGAAAGAGATTCACTACAGCATTATTTATCAAAACAAAAACAAAACGAATCTCAGAACTGGAAACATAAATTGTCCTGTGTTTAGCTCTATAGGGGAAATAACATTATCCATTAGACGTTTTTTTTTTAATGCTTACAGCACCTGGTATTCCTAGGTGGTCTCCCATCCAAGTACTAACCAGGCCAGACCGTGCTTAGCTTCCAAGATTAGACAAGATCGGGCATGTTCAGGATGGCGTGGATGTAGATTCCATTCAACATTTTTTGAGTGCTAACTTCATGCCAAGCCCTGACATCTGTGAGCTGGAAACAGATCAACAAGACCCAGGTCCTACCTATAAGAAGTTGAACCAACTGGACAACAGTTCAGATCACAGCATCAGAACACGTATTGGTAAACTCTGTGGAGGGAAGAAGCGGGGAAGAGAGAGAGAGAGAGAGAGAGAGAGAGAGAGACACGCCAGATGACATCAAAAAACGTGTCCCAGCATGGGTTGTGATTGACAGATTGCAAAGAACTAATGGAAATTCACTAGGAGGCAGAGGGAGGGAACAACAGGAGAAATGAACTAAGTGGAAAAAAAGCAAAGAACAAAATTCTGTCCTGTAATTACAACTATAGAGAAGTTACATGCAACCTGGTGTTGTTTTATTTATTTACAAATAGCACTATAACTTTCAATTCATTGTTTACATTAGCAAAAGACTTCTAATTAACCTAAATCCATTAACAGAGGAATGGTTAAGTCAATTGCAGCACAGCCATACCATGCAGCCATTAAGGAATGTGTAGGTCTACATGTGCTGATATGACTCCATCTCTAGAATATATTAAGTCGAAAAGGCAAAGTGAAGGACCATGTGACTAGAATATGCATGTACTGTATATATACAGTCATATGCACATATAGACATTTCAGTCAACTATGGACCACATACGTGATGGTGGTCCCTTGTGATTATCATAGAGCTGAAAAATTCTTATTACTTAGTGACATCATTGCTGTCATAACATCATAGCGCAATGCATTACTCACATGTTTGTGGTGATGCTGGTGTAAACAAACCTACTGTGCTGCCAGTTAAATAAAAGTATAGCACTTATAATTATGTATAGTACATAATATTTGATAATGATAATGAAAGACTGTTACTGGTTTATGTATTTACTGTACTATACTTTTTATCATTACTTTAGAGTGTATTCTTTCTACTTATAAAAAACATTTGCTGTAAAACAGTATGCCATGTTTTGTACTGTCAGCAGCCTCATACATCTTGTGCTTACCAAGTCTCTTGATTGCATCATTTTCTCTTGTGCTTAATCTCATGTTGTTTTGTACATTAACATTCTATACAGGCTTATAGCCTAGGAGCAATAGGCTATATCATATAGCCTAGGTGTGTAGTTGGCTATACCATCGAGGTTTGTGTAAGTTCACACTATGATGCTCACACACAACAAAAATCTCCTGATGATACATTTCTTAGAACTGCCCCGTCATTAAGGGATGCATGACTGTATATATATGTGTGTGATTTATATATATTTATTATACTTATACTCCTGCATTTCTGACAGATCACACAAAAATGAGGTGGTGGTTGCTTCTAGAGAAGGAATCCAGTGAGAAAATGAATAACTAATTATTTTTACCCTTTGGAACTGCTTAAGTTTTTAATCTCATTCATATAGTTTAAATAATAAAAATATTTTAAAATAAAATAGGTAGAAGCAAGTTTTTAAAAAACCTGTGCAATTCTATGTACATAACATTTTAGAAAATGCAAAGTATATTGGCAGAAAACAGTCAGTGGTTGCCAGGGGCTTGGGGTGGGTGGAGAGATGGGCATTGACTAGAAAGGGGCATAAGGAAGCTTTTTGACATGCTAGAAGGGGTGATTATTTGCCAAAATTTAGTTGAAATATATAACTTAAAAGGGTAAATTTTATTGTATGCAAGTTATACCTCAAGAAACTTTTAAAAAATTCAAATATTTAAATAATCAACTTTTAAATAGATACGTGCAAATATAGACAGGACCGGTAAGAAATTTGATTTTGTCTTAGTTTGGGCTCAGACATTATTGTGTTTTGTCATAAGGCACCACGGTATTTTACAATCCCTCTTCTGAAAGGTCTTCTGTCATTCATAAGTAAGTACGAGCTTGAGCAAGATGGCAAAACTAAGGCTGAGGGGTCAAGACACAGCCTGCCTTAAGTGCAACAGACCTCTCCTCCACTGTTGGTGCTTGGCCGCAGGAGGGGCCATTCCCTCACGTGGACTGGCCCCTGGCTCTGCTGAGGCTTGAGCTTCTTTGCTCTTGGAATTTTCTCTCTACACACCCCAGCCGCATCAAAGGCTGCCCTCTCCTGTTCACTGCCCACAGCTGATGTGACTCCATTAGCCCCAAGTTCCTAGAAGAAATGGAAGAACCTAATTTTTCTTGATCTTGGAAGGCTCAGTGCCAAGAGTTAGTCACTCAAGACTCACTTGTGAAACTCCAAATCTCAGGAGGAGGGGGAGTAGGGATAAATTCCAAGCTTCTGCCACCCCCAGCCCAACTCAATGTATGACTAACTTTACAGGAGGAGCAGGAAGGCCACAGCCTCAGCAAGGGATGACCAGGAATAGCTCCCTGCTAATGTAAACATAATGTCAGAAGGACCACCCCATGGAGCCAGGATGGCACTGAGCCAGCTCTCTAGCCATAACTGCATGAGCAGGAAAGCTCAGAATAGAAAGTGTTCTTCTGCTACCTCTGGCAGCTCCTCCCACACATGGCTGCAGGGTATGGGTTCCCTGCCAGCAATAACTCTCCAACCCTAGCTTTAGTAACACAGGTCTTTGCCTTTGTTTTTAATAAACCCATATAGGCTTTATAGTAAGGGTCAGAAATGACACGTTTGAATCCAAGAGTTACAGGCTAAAGCATAGTCACCTACAAACCTAGCCTTTCATGCTTTTATTTGAGTTGTCCTATATTGAAAAATGCCAACTTACACTGCTGAGAAATTAATATTCTTTGTGGCTACCTAACAGCTCATTTTGAAATCCTGAGGTTGAAAGTTCTGAACTGTCTGGCAAGCTAGGGAAGGCATTAATGGAGAGCTGCATTACAGCTTGGTTGGTACTTTCTCACCTAAACATTTAAAAGGTTGTAATAAAATGCAACAATTAGAAATTAGACATGTGCCTTCTTCTCACCCTGCCAATCAAAGCCCTTCTAATAGGCAAATTTATTTTGGAAATTTTTATTTATTGCATGGATTATATGGTTTGCTCAAATCTCTGATTAAGCAGACATTTATTTCTAGAATCAACTGAAAAAATTTTTTGGCAGAAAAAGTGCTGTTTCCTACAACATTTTGGAGAATGATTTGACAATAGATTCCTCTCTTCCCGGCCTTTCAGATAGAACCCCACCCTCATTCCCAAAGAACACAAGCAAAGAAGATATATCAGCATAAATCATTTATTGCAAACTCTCTGATATCATATAGTAGTGTGCCTTACTATTTACTCAGGAGTCATAGGAATGGGGGTCAGGAGGTAGGGAATGTGATGAAAGTAAAGACATGTAAAGACAGGTGTCCGAGGGGCAGCCCTCGTGCCTAGCCTGCTGGTGACTAGTCTTGGTCAGCTAAACTACCTTAGGCAGGAAGGAGCTGGGCCAAGACAAGGACACTCATTTCTCCTTTGGCCAGCCCACCACAGGTTTCAAGCCCTTTCCCCTTTAAGGTCCTGTGGAGGTAAGGGAGGTGTGAGGAAGTAAGAAGCTCTCTAACTGCCAGGCTTGTGGGGGCGAACAGCTGAGCATAGCGTCTCTGGTGTAGTCCTTGGCTGGGGAAGGCCTCTGAGGACTTGGGCCTTCATTGCAGCATCTTCAGACAGGTTGTGATGAGGGATGGAGCCTTGCCCTTGGGGGGCTGCCCTCCCTCTGTGGCATCCAGAAGCTGCTGCATGTAACAGGAGGTGCCAAGCAGAACGTGCCCTGTGGCCTGCATGCTGAAGAGGGCCCAGCGAATAGCTTCCCTGGGTAGAATGAGAAGGTAGTAGAGTCAAAACACAAAGAAAACCCCTGCATGCTTCCATTTAATACCTCCTTCCCCATGCTCCCTTCATAATTTCATGACTTGTAGAGTGATGTACAAACAGGAACAGATGCCGTCTTTTCTCAGCAAGTGGGAAAGGGTCTACGGGCATTATTTGCAATCATACTTTACCTGAGATGTCCAAAACCTCTCTATTTTCTAATGAAAAATTCAAGCTCATTTAATAAGGCCTTTGAAGATCATAACATGAAAAGGTCATAACTCTGCCCTTCACAACTTCTGTTCTAGATTCTGACTCCTTTTCAAGTCATTTGACCGAATTTTCAGAGTGTTGGATATGAAGATACCATTTTGATCCCAAACACGGTTAGGAGGTTGAAATAACATAAATCACCTAACACAGTGCCTGATGTATAGAAAGTAGGGGAAACATGGAGTCAAGAGTAGTTGTTTGAATGCTTGGCTACTTTAAACAAGCTCTTATCCAAATCTATTTAGTCTACGGCCATGCCACCCTGAACATGCCTGATCTCGTCTGATCTCGGAAGCTAACCAGGATTGGGCCTGGTTAGTACTTGGATGGGAGACCACCTAGGAATACCAGGTGCTGTAGGCAATTAAAAAAAAAAAAGAAAGAAAGAAAAAAAAAGAAGTAAGTAAGAGTCATTAGGGGTGTCTAGCTAGTCCTTTCCTAGTGGCAGTTGGGGAGGGGAAAACAAAAGGAAAGTAAATACTTCCTGGTTGATATTAAAACTTATCTTCTATTAATCTTCATTCAAAAAATTATGATTGAGGTGGAGGGGAGCAGAAAGATAATTAGACATCTATACATGAAAATTCTTTAAAAATGTAAAGGTTATACCTGAGAAGTATACCCATTTCTCAAATTAGAGAACCAAGGATTAAAAGCAGTTGTCTAGCCATAAATAGGAATGAAACTCTGACACATGCTACAATACGGATGAACCTTGAAAACATTATGCTAAGTGAAATAAGCCAGACACAGAGGGACAAGTCTTGTATGATTCCACTTCTACGAGGTCCCTAGAATAGGCAAATTAACAGAGACAAAAAGTAGAACAGAGGTTACTGTGGGCTGCGGGGAGGGAGGAGTGGAGAGTTAATATTTAATGGGTATAGAGTTTCAGTTTGGGATGATAAAAAAATTCTGGAAATAGATAGTGGTGACAGTTACACACACTGTGAATGTCACTGAATTGTACACCTAAAAGTGGTTAAAATGGTAAATTTCGTGTGATGCATATTTTAGCACAATTTAAAAAAAAAAAAACAAAACTAGCCAACACCACTAAGTCACTATACAAACTCTGGCTTACAATTTTTTTTTTGATACCAAGATGTTTCCTATGTTTAGGTCTGAGAGTCCCACTTCCCCTAACTGGACTGAAACTTCTTGCTTTAGATTTTGAAATCTGCGAACTACTTTCAGCAAGCACAGAACCAGAGGAGGCATGGTACGATATAAAAGAAAAGTTGAACTTCTAGCCATAGAGCCAGGCTCAAGCCTGCCATTGAGTATCATCTCTGGCAAGCAAAACCATGCATCTTCTGTTTCCTCATCTGCGGATTTGGTATGCAGAGAATAAACTCAGAAAGCCAAGAAGGTTTGATATGCTCTAGCTACACGTGTCTTGGCAGAATTCTGGGGACCCTAACAGGAGTTCTCAGAAGCACCCTGAGAACAAGGATCATATGTGTCCGCATTCATTCTACTATTATTTGAATTACTGCTATATGCCAGCATTCATCAAGGTACTGGAGGCAACAGAAATTCTTGCCCTCATGGAGCTTGTTTTGGCATCTTGTTCTCAGCTTATAGCATAGGGTCAGGCACACAGTAAATACTAAATGAAGCAATTGGAAAGTAGTAGAATCTGTCGCAAGAAACTTGCAACAGGCCATGTTCTGCTACTCCCTAGCTTTGTGGCTTGGACTAATTGGATGGTCTCTGCCTTAGTGGCTACACCTATCTAGTGGGGCTAAGAATGCTTTAGAGCACCACTGGAGCAGCTGAATTTGGAAAATACTACAATAACAGTACTTGTCTTATGATTTAACATATTCTTATGCTTCCTGTGTACTTGATTAGACTTACAAAAGTAAAGAAAAAAGTTTTAAAGTTCACTAGATAATACAAATGACTATTGTCCAAGACATGCAAAGTAATTCTGTCCTATGAAGGGATAATAATTTCATTCCTTCTATCCCCATGGAAAAATCCAATTTTGTATCTATAAATTTATTTCAGCATCATTTTTCACTATTTTTTTTTCTTTTTGCTGTTTATTTCAGCATTCTTGATGGACCAGTATATGGGTGGGATTTTGATTTCTCTTTTGAACTAATTGTAACTTCTTGAAGGTTCTCCCATTAATTAATGAGTTCAATAAAATCCTTGACACATGTTCATTTTTAAAAAGTTGACTAGAAGACTACTTAGGAAAACTTACTATTTTAAGTGAAAAAAATTATTATAATGCAAGTTAATTAGAAAAACTCAATATATACCAATTCTACCTAGAGGAATATCTGTACTCCTTTGGCACACACTAGTGAAATCTAATGCACTAGTTCAGCCATAAGTTCTAGACAAATGCTAACTATCATGCTTTGTCAGCATCAATACCAGTCCTAGTCCCTAGAAGGCTGAAGTCCATGTGAGCAGATAGGGGCTCTCCCATTGCTGCATATCCACCCTGTCCTCAGCTAATCCCAATTCACTTACTTCATGATACGCTTGGCCCCATAGCAGTGCAGATTGTAGGAAAGGGAATATGTGCCATAGAGAGTTGCCTTTACATTCAGGCAGCCAATGAAGTCCTGTGGGTTCACCTTATACAGGTCAAAGGTTACACGGGCCACATCAATCTTCTTGGCAGGCTTACGGGAGAGGGAGAGTTGGTACCTAGTGCCCTGCATCAAGACAAGCATGTGGTTGACACCCCTCACGGACATCTCCCAGGCTCCCACTGTTCTCCCTCCACAGGTGGTACCTCACCTGTTCTGATGGAGACTGCCATTTCTGCCCCTTCTGGAGGACCATGAACACTGTGTCATCTGCCAGGGTTTGGAAATACTCTTCTGTCTCTACAGTTGTGCCATCTTCCTCCAGCACCAGGAAGAAAGGCTTGTCTGCCAGCATCAGGATGTCCCGGACCTGGTGAATAAAGTTAGTGTTGCTTCTGCAATCCCCATGCAGCCACAGAGCTGGTATGGGGAACACCCATATCATATCACCTCAGCTGTCAGGAAAGAACATGTGGGTAGGGGTCTATGGGATGGGCTCTTGCTATGGGATCACCATCCAAAGACTCTATATTAAGGTAATAAGGTAATTCTTGGTACCTAGGATCATAGTTAATATTCTAGAACAAAATAAAATAGAATGGGAGTCACATATATAATTTTCTATTGAGACGTAATTCATATGTCATAAAATTCACCCTTCCAGAGGATATACTTCAGTTTTTTTCAGTATATTCACAAAGTTCTGCAACAACCACCACTATCTAATTTCATCACCCCGAAGGAAATCTAATACCCATTAGTGGTCACTCTCCATTCCCCAACCCATGGCAACCTCTACTCTACTGTTTGTCTCTATGGATTTGCCTATTATGGATGTTTTATATAAATAGAATCATACATTATGTGATCTTTTTAAACTGGCTTCTTTTACTTAATATGTTTTCAACTTTCATATGTATTGTAGCATGATTCACTCATTTTCATGGCTTAAAAATATTCTACCATATAGGTATATCACATTTTTAATTGATTCATCAATTGGTAGACATTTGGTCATTTTCATTTTCTGAGTATTATGAATAATGCTGTTATGAACATTCATGTACAAGTTTTGGGGTCAACACATATTTTCAATTTTCCTAGGTATATAGCTAGGAGTGACATTGCTGAGTCATACAATTAATCTCATATTTAACTTTTTGTGAAACTACCAAACCGTTTTTCAAAACAGCCATATCATTTTATATTCCCACCAGCAATGTATGAGGAGGATTCCAATTTCTCTGCAATCTCACCAACACTTATTATTGTCTGCCCTTTATTTTAGCTAGTTTATTTGGTATAAAGTGATTCTGATTTTCATTTCCCTAATGACTAATGATGTTAAATATATTTTCATGTATTCTTATGCATTTGTATATCTTCTTTAGAGAAACGTCTACTGAAATCCTTTGCCTATTTTTAATTGGGTGTCTTTTTATTGTTGAGTTATAAGAGTGCTTTATGTACTCTTGATACTAGACCCTTATCAGACATGTGATTTGCAAATATTTTCACCCATTCTGTGAGTTATCTTTTCATTTATTTTGGGAGTGTCCATTGATGCACAAAAGTTTTTAATGTGGATGAGGTCCAGTTTTTTTCCTTTGGTTGTTTATGTTTTGATGCCATAGCTAATAAACCAAGTCATGAAGACTTATACCTATGGTTTCTTCTAAGAGTTTTATAGTTTTAGCTCCACACTTAGCTCTTTAATCCATTTTAACCTAATTTTGTATATACTGTGATGTACGGATCCAACTTCATTCTTTTGCATGTGGCTATCCCATTGTCCTAGCACCATTTGTTGAAAAGACTATTCTTTCTCCATCAAATAGTTTTGGCACCCTGTCAAAAATCAATTGGCCATAGAAACATGGGTTTATTTATGGACTTTTAATTCTATTCCATTGATTTGTATATATTATGGGCTGAATTCTATTCCCGCAAAATTTATATGTTGAAGTCCTAAGCTCTGGTACCTCAGAATGTGACTGTATTTGGAGGTAATTAAGTTAAAATTAGGTCATTAGGGTGGGCCCTAATCTAGTATAAGGTATTCTTATAAAAAGGGGAGATTCGGACAAAGAAACATACATAGAGAAAAGATCATGTAAACATGAAGACGGCCATCTCCAAGCCAAGGAGAGAGACCTCAGAAGAAACTAACACTGAAAACACCTTGATCTAGCCTCTAGATTCTGTTATTTAAATACCGGTCTGTGGTATTTTGTTACAGCAACCCTAGCAAACTAATACGTGTGTCTATCCTTTCATCAATACCATAAAGTCTTGATTACTGACCATAGATTTGTAGTAAGTTTTGAAATCAGGAAGTGTAAGTGCTCCAACTTACAAGATCGTTTTGACTATTCTGGGTTCATTGAATTTCTATATAAATTTTAGAATCAGTTTGTTAATACCTACAACAAGAGTAGCTGGGATTTTGATGGGGATTGCATTGAATCTGCTGATCAAATTGAAGAATATTACCATCTTAACAATATTAAGTCTTCCAATCCGTGAATATTTATCTTTTCATTATTTAGGTCTTCTTTAGGTGTTCAATTTAATTTATTTCAACAATGTTAATTTTCAGTCTGTAAGTCTTATATATTAAATTTATTCTTAAATATTTTATTCTTATTGATGCTATTATAAATGGAATTGTTTTCCTTATTTCATTTTCAGATTGTTTATTGACAGTGTATGGAAATAAAACTGATTTTTATGTATTGATCTTATATCTTACAACCTTGCTGAACTCATTTATTAGCTGTGTGTGTGTGTGTGTGTGTGTGTGTGTGTGTGTGTGTGTATTCCTTAGAGTTTTCAATATACATGATCATGTCATCTGCAAATAGAGATAGTTTCACTTCTTTTTGTTCTAATCAGGATGCCTTTTATTTTATTTTCTTGCCAAAGCACTCTGGCTAGAACCTCCAGTACAACATTAAATAGAAGTGGCAAGAGCAGACAGTCTTATCTTATTCCTGATCTTACGGAGAAAAGCTATCAGAATTCCACCTTTAAGTATGATGTTAGCTGTCAGTTTTTCATAGATGCTCTTTATCACGCATATGTAATTTTAAAATGTCTAATAGCCACATTAAAATAAAAACAGGTGAAACTACTTGTAATATATTTAATTCAATCTAAAATATAATTTCAGCATATAATCAAGATAAAAATATATAAGATTTTATATTTTTTATATTGTCTTCAAAATCCTATATGTACTTTATACATAAGCACATCTCAGTTTCAACTAGACACATTTCAAGAGTCCAATAACCACATGTAACTAGCAGCTACCACATTGGATAGTGCAACTTTAGAGATAAACAGACCTAGGTTCGAATTCTAACTTCCCCATTTCACTGTTTGCACTTAATCAAGTTATCTTATTTCTCTGAACTAGTTTCATCATCGAAAAGGTTGAGGCAAGTACAGTCTTAGAGTCCTCACAATGACTAAATGCAAAAGCATATGAAATGACAGCCTGGGTTTAAATCCCAGTGAATAAATTGGCCTCTGCCTCATGAAAATGGGAATAGTAGTAACTACTTCAAGGTTATGATTACAAGAAATACTGTAAGTCACCTGGTAGAGTACATTGTCCATAATGTGCATTTACTAAATTTTATACCATACTAATTTAAATAGAAAGAGACCCATGACATGTCATAGAATGAAAAGTCAAGCCCCATAGGACATAATACCATTTAAGTAGGTTATATATAAAGATAGACTATACAGGACATGCACTATACCATTAATTACTTTGGAACAGTAGAATTCTCACTCTACTTTTCTTACTTGGATTCATTAGAAAACATTTTTTCTACTTAAAATCTTTTAATAAAGGCTTGAGATCAGCAACACATCAATAGCAATGAACACACCTAGCTCCCAGATCTTAGTTTCTGAATACCATTCTCCACTAAAATAAAGCAGATCTCCTTAGGAAAAATGGGCTAGGGCAGGGAAAGTACAAGATGAGCCTGCAATATCCTGTTGTGCCAGAAAGTCAGAAAGCACTACACAGAAGTAGGTCTAAAGGGAGTCTCAGTGGCCAGTCTGGGACAATTTGAGTATCAATAAATAATCTGTTACCATCTTTATATCCCATTTAAGTAGAAATACTTGAGTCCTTTTTTATATAAGTAAATGAATATATTGAAAGTTAGATGCAGAATGAGATGTTTACTTAGTACAAAGTACCTCTGTAGAAAATAATTAATATAAAGAGAAAAATAACAGCTTTACATAGAGAAAACTGACTGTACTTTCTTATTCAAATAATCAAAGTTAAACAGTAATGTGAGAAATCAATATTGTATATATTCAGACAATTCTAAACTGAAGAACAGTAAACAACAAAAAAACTGGCTTATAATCTTCAAAACAGTCAAGGCCATGAAAGTCAGGGAAATTGAGGAACTGTTCCCGATTAAAGAACATTGAAGAAATGTACAATTAAGGAGAACACTTGATCCTGACCTGGGTCCTTTCACTACAAAGGACATTATTGGCATGACTGGCAACACTTGAATGGAGTCTCAGGATTAAATGGTAGTCACGTAACATTGTATTTTCCCTGATTGTGATGGTTGTATTGTGGTTGTATAGGAGACTATCTTTGGAGAAAACACACACCAAAGCATCCAAGAATGCTAGGCATCAAGTTGGCAATTTACTCTCAAGTGATTCATGTGAAGTCTTGTATTGTTCTTGCAACTTTTGTTACTTTGAAACTGTTTCAAAATTAATTTTTTTAAAAAAATTTCCAATGACTTACTGTTATCTTTTAAAATGAAACCCAAGTGTTCTCTGTCATGGCCAATAAGGGACTTCAAACTCTGGTCCCTGCCAAACATATCACCTTGCCCTCTTCTCTCTCATGCTCTCTGCTCCTTTCTTTCTGTTGCCAAATTTGACAACGCAGTCTAGATAGGCTGACGTCCTCTCTGCTCTACTGGTAAGATTTACATTTGACCTGTGGTCCATCTTAGAAAACTGAACCCTCACTGCTGTTCCTCCCTGCAACCTCTGCACTTAAGACTCTGACTACTGATTCCCAAAGTCAATGGCTATAAGAATCTCCTGAAGAACCTGCTAAAAATGACAATTCCGGGGCCTCACTCATGACCTAACTAGTCTCAGTGGTGGAGTCTGGAAAGCCATGTGTTAACAAGGTTATTTTGATGCAGGAGGTGGTCTCCAGACCTGAGGGCGAAAAATAGTACGGAGTATAGACTCAGGTGTGAAAGAGCACTTTTGAGTCAAAGCACAAGAAATGTAGCCTGGCATAGCCAGAAGCCTCACAAGGGAGGGGAAATTGGCTCCCAGGAAGAACAGACTTAGTTCAGAGAAATGGGGGAGAGAACCTAGAATAGAGGGTTAGAATAGAGAGATGATTTCTGTATGTTAAACAGACTAGTGACTGGAAGCTTAATTCAAATATTTGATCTGTGTGGGGACCTGGCTTGCAGATGAGCAGATTCCCACCCCCTGGGACTGATAAGTTAGTAGGACGATGAGGCACATGACTAATAACAAACCAGATTAGATGAGGCTGTAGGCCAGGCAGTGGGAGTCGTTATTTCCAATCAAGTGGAGAGGGAGCCTGGAAATGGGGAAGGGTGTCATTCTCGTCTACTGTGACTACCATCCACAAGAGTTGTGTATCTTGGTTTCCTCCTCTGGAAGCTTACCTTATCAGTAGTTTGAAGAAAGTTTTCTGCAGCTACTAATAATGCCTTACATGGAAGGCCAATGTAGGAGACAGACTGAAGGAGAATTGCCCTGGCTGAAGGGAGGAGATGGGGAAGGGAATGTCAAAATCTTTCCCATTTCCCACACTTTCAGGCACTTCTGTAAGTTTAAGAACTACTGGAAAAGGTATCCTAAGGGAAAACCAGAAAGAAAAATATGCTCTGAAAATACCACTGACCTAATGTTGGTATAGGACGACAATATACTACCCTCCCCCATCACTAGACATACATCACTAATCAGTTGGACAGCACTCCAGGCCTACTCTACCAACCCAGTAGAGCTGGCTTCAGAAAGGAAATATTTTCACCATCTAAGCCATGAACTTCATCCCTGCTGATCTCCCAGCTCGTTTTGTGTAGGACAGAGGCAGTTGTCAGGGCCAACTCTTAGCCAAGGTCCCAGTGGTTGGGCTGTGCTAAGGGCAGGCCCTCCCCAAACCTTGTAGAGGAGGTCCTCAAGGCTGTACGCCATGACGCCCTTCCGCACACTCCGGTCAGCAGTGCTCACTCTGTAGGGCCGGGCCCGGAGGGTCTCAGGGCTGGGTTCCGACAGCAGCTGCTGTGTCACCACTGAGGTGCTCACTGCCACATACCTGAGGGCAGTTTGGGGCATCAAAATGAGTATTCTGCTGCTTCCCAGCTCTCACCCCATAGCAAGGTAACTCACTCCCCAACCCCTCTAGGCTGAGCTCATCATATTCCTCCTCCCCTACCACCTACCAAGCCTTCTCTAGATAGTCTTACTTCAAAGCCTCCTAGATCAGAGTATCTCAAACTTTAATGGACATATAAGTTCTCTGGAGATCTTAATAAAATGCAGATTCCGATTCAATACATCTAGGTGGGGTCCGAAATTCTATATGTCTAACAAGTTTTCAAGTGATATTGACTGCTGGTTCTCAGGCCATCAGGAGAAACAAAGTGATAAAAGACCCACCCCATATTCCCCCAATTCTGCTTTCTTTTCTTGGCTTCACTCTTCTCATCTGTAAAGTGAAGTGAAGTGACGAAGCTGAGGTAAGTGTAAGGCATTTAGAACTTTGACATACATAATACAGAACCAAAGGAGGAGTGGAGGGAGCTTGGGTTTTAGAGTCAAACAGGCCCAAGTTCTACCTTGTCAAACAACTCATTTGCATCCACCCTGTGCTTCAGTTTCCCCATCTATTAATTTGGTATAATAATCCCCACTTCCCAAAGTCATGGTGAGGTTTAATGAGATAAAAAATGAAAGCACCAAGAGTAGTGTCTACCTCTTTCTACCCAATGTGTGGTGGTAGTTGTGGGTTGCATACCAGCATTAACGCCACCTGAAGACTTGTTAGAAGTACAAAATCTTGAGTCCCACTCCAGACGTCCCGAATTAGAATCTGCATTTTATCAAAATGTCCAGTTGACTTATGTGCCCACTGAAATCTGAGAAGCTCTGCCCTATAGTTCACCGGTATCTCCCCTTTCCTTCCACCCTTAGTTCTCCTTACCTGGAGAGGTACTTGGGAGAGAGAAGGCTGAGAGACTTCATGGCATATTCCATCCTCGTCAGCTGAACTGTGTTGGACCTGGGAAGGAAGAAGAAACAGCTTACTACAGTGGGTTGGGAGGATTCCCTCTCTCTCATTATTTGACGCAGTACAACCACACCCCCATCCAGTAAACCTCCCTCTCAACTGGTCTTTCCTCTCAACTCACATACACCTTCTGCAGCCCTTCTCCTGTCCAATCCCATGCACACCAATTGTGACCAAGCTATAGAGCCCCTAAGTGCTCAGGTTCAGCTGCACTCAGCAGCTGCTCTGCTCTCCATAGTGCTACTCACTCCATGTTTCTCTGACCCTAGCTCAGGTCACACTGATCAGATATCCCAGGTTGGGGCTGAAGAGGCCCAGCTTGGTTAATTCTTGCCTCTGAGGGCAGAGTCCACTTTACGCTGGCAGGAGGTGAGTCACATCACCTCACACTCCTGGGGACTGTACTCTCTTGCCTGTAGTCCAGAGACCTCAGAGGTCAGGCCGTCACAGGCCAGGCAACCCGGCTTAAGCCTGTTCTCTCCCGTGGGTCCTTGAGCAATCTGAACCCTTCTGACCAAAGGGACTTTGAGATGATAGAGACATTCTATATCTATTCTTTCCATGTTTGGAGCTACTAGCCCAGTGTAGCTATTGAGCACTTGAAATGTGGCTCAATATTTAATGTTATTTAATGTTAACGAATTCGAATTTAAATAGCCACTGTGACTTATGGGTGCTGGCAACTATACTGGACAGCGCAGCTCTAGCTCATAGCCCTGAGCTCACTGGCCACCACTTTCTCTCCTAAACTTCTATGCTCCAGCTCTTATATGCTCCAAGCCTTTGTGCAGGCAGTTTCCCCCGCCTGAAATGCCTTTCTCTGACCCAGGACTAAATGTTTGTTTCCTTGAAGCCCCAGTTGTATTGCTTTCCATTCCCTGGAAAGCCGCCTTACACGGCTCATGGAATTTCCCCTTCATCCTGCCTTTCCTACTTCCTAGCCATGTGTCTCTTTCTACCTTAGTTCTCTATTCCCTAGGTGCCTGGCCCTGAAATCTTCTCCCTAATCCCAGCCCCCAGCACAGAGAGGGCCTGGCGCAGAGCAAGGGACTCAAGGAGGGGTCATGGAAGGAAATACCCTTCCCTTCTTAGGCAAAATCACTCTTTCTTTCTAACAACATGGTATGGGGGGCTTCGCCAGGCCAGCCCTGTCTGTGAAAGCCCACTCCCCTAGTTTGCACTACCCAAGTCTACTTGCTTTGGCCTCATTCCTCACTCCCCACCCATAGCAAAACTCAGCAATCCCCACCTCACCTGCTCTCCAGGAGTCCAAAAACAAAACACCCCCAAACAAGACTCCTTACCTCCCCCTCACAGCCGCCTAACCTCCTTACAATATTGCCTTGCTCAGCCCATCCCTCCCCACATTTTATTGTCAGCTGCCCAGGGAAAGCCCCTCCTCTGGCCTTCAGCTCCAGCTAGGGAAAAGAGCAGGGAGAGTGAGTGTGCAACTCCTACCCTTGAGATTTCAGGCTAGCCTAACTTCCAGAAAAGGACCAAAAGGAGGGGAGGAGGCATGTTTTGAAAGCTTTGGGCCAGGGTATGGCCCAGGACATGATATCAGGCACAGAGGGCACAGAAAACAGGCGGATGTTAGTTGTGGCCCCAGCTCTACCCATGTCAGCTGTTTGAGTGTAGATAAGCTACCTTACCTCCTGAGCTCCAATTTCTCTCACGGGGATAATGATGCCTGTATTAAAGGAATGAGGGGAGGATTCATGATAATAAAAGGGCTTTGCAACAGAGACACTTAATTGATAGATGAGACATTTGTCTTATTGATAATATAATTATTTAATAATAGCGGAGACTAAAACTAGCTGAAATGTGTAGTGGTTAAGAGGGTAAGATTTACAACCCAGCAATTCTAGTTCTAGGTAGGTAGGTAAATAGATAGATGATAAATAGATAGATAGATAGATACTCCTAGATATTGATACATATAGACATAAAACATACATCCACACAAACACTTCAAATATTCCACACAAATATTCATAGCATTAATAGTAATAGCCAAAAGATAGAAACAGCAAATATTCATCAATTGATGAATGGATAAAAAATGTTCTACATCCATAAATGCAAAATTATTTTGTATAAAAAGCATACATGCCACTAAATGGATGAACTTTGAAAACATATGCAGAGTGAAAGAAGCCACTCATAAAAGATCACATATATATTTTTATGATTCCACTTGTGTGAAATGTCCAGAAAAGGTAAAACTATAAAGGCAGAAAATAAATTAGTGGTTGCTTAGGGCTAGGGAGTGGGGGGAGTGGTGGGGGAGTGATAATAATGGGTACAGGGTTTCTTTTGGGGGACCAACCTAATCACAATTTATTTTGGCGATGGTTGCACAACCCTGTAAATATTCTAAAAACAATTGAATCATACATATAAGTGGGAGAATTGTATAGTATGTGAATTATGTCTCAATAATGTCTTTTTTTAAAAAAGAGTCCGAGCTCATTTTTTTTAGCACAAGGTATTTCACACTAGTGCATCATAATCACCTAAAGAGCTTGTTAAAATTCAGATTGCTGGGCTGCACCCCAAAGTTTCTCACTCAGTATGTCTGTGGTGGGACCTAAGAAAGTGTATTTCTAACAGATTCCTAGGTGATGCTGAAGCTGCGGCTCCCTAGGGACCCCATTTTGAAAAACAGCAGTCTAGCACTAGCTATGTGATATAACTCCTCTAAGCTTCAGCTGTATCTGACAAATGGGGATTAAAAATAGGTTGTCATTAAAATTAAATGAGATAATCATGAAATGTACTTTCTAGAAGGCTTAGTACCTTCTTCAGACTCAATAAATAGCTATTATTATTATTATTATTACCATTATTATTATCATCATTATTATTATTTACATCTCTCTGTCTTCTCCTGGAGGAGCTTCCAAACAACCATCACTCATTCATTCAGCAACTATGTATTAGTCACTATGTGCCAGCTCTCCTAGGGGTGCAGAATACAGCAGGAAACAGACAGGTTTGCCTCATACTTCAAGGAGCTGACATTCCTGGACGAGGGAGAAACTCTGACCATGAACAAATTGCAAATAAACAAAATAATTTCAGATAATGATGTTCTGGGAAGAAAACAAAGTAATGAGATAGAAAACGGCTAGAGAGCTAGATTGGCCGTGGGCTTAGGGGCAATCTGAGGGGAGGTGAGCGTTCAGCTAAATCCTGACTGGTGAGAAGCCAGTCTTTTGAAGCTCTGGAATGTCTTGTTCAGGCTGCTATAACAGAATACCAAAAGCTGGTCGTTTATAAACAACAGAAATTTATTTTTCACAGTTCTTAGGCTGCTATAACAGAATACCAAAAGTTGGTGGTTTATAAACAGAAATTTATTTTTCACAGTTCTGGAGTTAACAAGTCCAAAATCAAGGCGCCAGTAGATTTAGGGTCTGGTGAGGGCCTGCATCCTGGTTCATAGACAGGGGTCTTCTCTCTGTGTGCCCTCCCATGGTGGAAGGGCAAGGGAGTCTCTTTTCTAAGGACACGAATCCTGCCTCCCTAAAAGCCTACCTCTAAATATCATCACATTGGGGATTAAGTTTCAACATAAGAATTTTGGAGGGAACACAAACATTCAGCCTATAGCATTCTGCCTGAGCCTGAAAGCCAGGCTTTTCAAGTCCTAGAGGGGAACACTCAAGACAAAGTCAACATCAGTGCAAAGGATTTAGAAGAGAATGAGCAAAATGAGGAGACAGGAACACAAATCACTGAACTTTAAGGCAGAATAAGAGTCAGAAGAAAAGTATAAACGAATGCTTCAAGGAGAAATTTCTGGGGAAAGAACTGCGGCCCCTCTCTTGGACGTTCACGCCTCAAATATTTATTGAATGTTCATAGTGCACTTGGTATCCCATGATAGGCAAATGGATGACTCAGAAGCAGTCTGGCCCTAACGAACACTTAGGAAATCATGGAACTCGGACACAGTAAAGACAAAGATAACCACAAGCCAAAGTCAGAGAATATCTCCCAGAGGGGTATAGGTGAAAAGTGAGGGTGGGAGTGGGGGAGGAGGATGAAGGTGGAGGGAGAATGGTTCTATGAACCTGAGGATTCTTCACATTGCTTAGAAGAGGATGGCTTGACTTAGTTTGAATTTGTTTATTCAACAAGCATTTCTTGAGCTTTTACACTATGCTAGTCATAGTGGGCTGCCAGGGACACACATAATTTGGCGCTTATCCCTGTGTTTGAGGAGATCACATTCTAGTTGGGAAGGCAGGTGTCTGAGCATGGTTCTCAAACTCTGAAGTGCAGAAAATCATTTAAGATACCTTGGAGTGGAGGACTCTAGCTACTACTCAAAATTGAGAAGCCAAAAAAGAAAAGATTATACATTCAACTACATTAAAAAAAGTATTCTGTATGTTAAACTTGTAATACCATAAGTCAAGTCAAAAGACATATGATAGGAAAAATATATCGCAACTAATATTATAGACAAGAAGCCAATCTTCTCTCTCTGTCTTCTCCCTCTTCTATCTATATATAAATTTAAAAGACCAATAACATAGTAGAAAAATGGCAAAGAATATAAACACAGTTCAGAGAAATGAAATACAAATAACCTTTAAACATATATATTTAATTTTTTTCAAATAACTTTATATTTTTCTTATTTTATGTATTTTTTATTGTGGTAAAATGTACATACACAGAAAATTAACCATTTTTAAGTGTACAGTTCAGTAACATTAAGTACTTTCATTGTTGTACAACCATCACCACATTCATCTTCAGAACTTTTTTCACCTTCCTTTTCATTTCTGTACCTATTAAACAACTCCGCATTCCCTCCTCCCCAGCCCCTGGTAACCACCATTCAACTTTCTGCCTCTACACAATTTATTTTTTCATGACCTTGACATTTTTGAAAAGTAGTCCAGTTATCTTGTAGAATGTCCCACAATTTGAATTTATCATCTCATAATTAGATCCAGGTTAAGTGTCTTTGGCCGGAATATTAAAGACCTGATGTGTCCTCAGTATATCGGGGTACACGAGATGTCATTAATAGTCACGTTAACTTTGATTACTTGGTTAAGGGGATGAGCATCAGGTTTTTCCTCTGTAAAGTTACCGGCTTCTCTTTGCAACGATTATGTAATCCATGGGGAGATACTTTGAGACTGTGACATGCACTCTCGAGAAAGTTACAGAACCCTTCCAAGCATTAGTTTCCCCATCTGTGACGTGCGGACAGGGTCGTCTTAAACTCATTAGAGTTTAAGAAAGTGAAAGTGCTCCAGAGGCTGGAAGGGAAAGCGATATCAGGGCTGGGGTTGCAGGGCGTTAACTTCCTGTGCAGCTCCCTAGAGGAGAGGCGGTCCAAGCGGTGCCGGGGAAACCGCGCGCGCGTAAGCGTGCCCGTGCGCGGGGCGGACCGGGGGCGGGGACTGGGGCTGGGGCTGGGAGGGGTGACCACAGAGTCGGTCCTCCGGGGACAGAGAGGCCGGAAGTTGTTCTCACAGAACCGTGCGGCTTTTGCGGTGGCCGAGCTGAGGCTGCCCGAGGCAGGTTTGCAGGCGGCAGAGGGTCGGCGCGACGGCCTCCGGGGTCCTGCGCAGGGCCAATGGCGTCTCGCGCAGGCCCGCGAGCTGCCGGCACCGACGGCAGCGACTTTCAGCACCGGGAGCGCGTTGCCATGCACTACCAGATGAGGTATGAAGTGAGGCTGGGAGCATGGAGGCCTTCTGCAGGGCCTGGGAAGCGAGGCCCTCCCACTCCCCGACCTCAGGCTCTTACTCCTTAGCCAGTTCCCACTCACCTGCCAAGTCCCCTCCTCCCGTGAAGGCCCTGGGCCTGACCCCAGTCCTGGGAAGCCCTGAAGCTCTCTTGAGCTCCACCTCTTGATACGCCCTGTGCCTTGAGGGGGTTCCAGACCCGTCTGGGCTCCAGTCCTGGCTATGCTGGCCCCGCTGTGCGACCTCGGGAACCTAATTTCTAATTGAGCCTCAGTTTCCTCATCTACAAATACAAAAAAATAATGTAACCACGCCTTTTAGGGCTGGGTGAAGAATGAGTGAGCTAATAATTCGTATAAAGGACGTAGCATAAGATCTAGCACATAATACGAGTCTGCCCAATACACGGTAACCTGTTATATTTGGGGCCCTTTTGGGGAATGTGGACTGTAAGAGC